GCAGCCCACCAGGCTCCCCCATCCCTGGGATTCTCCAGGCAAGAACACTGGAGTGGGTTGCCATTTCCTTCTCCAATGCATGAAAGTGAAAAGTGAAAGTGAAGTCGCTCAGTTGTGTCCAACTCTTAGCGACCCCATGGACTGCAGCCTACCAGGCTCCTCCATCCATGGGATTTTCCAGGCAAGAGTACTGGAGTGGGGTGCCATTGCCTTCTCCACATTATCTTGCTAACGCTTTATAATTTTTTCAGGTGGAAAAAAAGGATTTTTATCTCAATTTTTAAAAATTAGAATTTTGATGTTCAAACTGATTACATGACTTACATACAGCAGGTTTGCTCTATCCTGAGTGGTGGAATATCTTCCGCAGTACTTGTTTACATTCTAGGAGTTAACTGTTGGTCACCTGGTAATGAAACATAAAAATTTTAATCAGTATACACAGTTTTTGGTTGTCACTATATAATCCATAAAGAAGGTTGACTACTGTATCTTTTAGTAGACTTAAGACTTGACCTGAAGATATATTGTCAAAATCTATATTGATCTATTGCTCAATATAACACTTAAATTTATATTTGCTCAATTTAGCACTCTGTTTTGCCAGCTTGCAGTTTTCCAGTCTGCTATGCTGAGAAGCTTGGGGGGAAGGGGTGGAGAATCCAAACAATATCTTCGCTATTCATGAGGCAGTTTTATATCCCGAATCCATACTCTTGTATTCAACTGATGTTATAAAGTCAGGTACAAATGCAGCACAGGTACATAGTGCCCTTTAACCCCATACTTTCAGTCTCCAGATGGGCAAATACTCTCAAAATTTTAAGGAAATGATTTTAAGAATTTCTGTGTGCTCTTGCTTGTTGTGGTAAAGAATCCACCTGCCAATGCAGGAGGCGCAAGAGACACAGTTTCAATCCCTGGGTTGGGAAGATCTCCTGGAGGAAGAAATGGTGACTCACTCCAGTATCCTTGCCTGGAGAATTCCATGGACAGAGGGAGCCTAGCGGGCTGCAGTCCATGGGATCATGAAGAGTCGAACACGACTGAGTGAGCACAGACATGCTTGTTGTGAAGTGCTTGCGTAAGCAGGTAGGCAGGAATTCCTACAGACTGATGTTGAAGATAAGCATATTATGCATTAATATCAAACCTCAGGAAGCCCAAGGTGATGTAGCAAATGCCTGGATCTAGAAAAGTGAAATGCAACAAAATTCCTGGCAATTCACAATTTGTTTATGCTTTAAATTTGGTATTTGGGATCTACCTGTATTCAAGTATATCTTCACTATCATTTCAGTTTGCTTTATTGAAAGTACAGTCATTTTCATTTGTAACAGCTATATACAACAGGCAATAAATAAAACTACAAGCGATCTTGGAGCCTGTGTGAAAAAAATGGCAGGAGATGCTTTTGTCTTGCTCATTCATAATTACTGTGTCTGCAATATATCGGCTACCATATGTAAACATTAACAGAATCCAGATTTCATGAATTTATGGCTTGCCTGAACTTCCTTTTTTAAAATCCTGAGTGTACTGCAGATGAAAACTATCTACATTACTTTAGAAACTGCACTTTATAGAATAAAAAACAAACAAACAAACATTTTTCTGATTTATTTCAGAACACTCTAAATTCTAGGAATGTTTATTGATGTAAACCCACATAGGTTAAGCTATTTTGAGACTAGGAGCAAACAGTCACCATTTAGCAATAGGTTTGGAAAACACAAAGTATTTCGGCACTTGCTTTGCCACAAAGCATTTGACGGTCTAAATTAGAGCTTCATAATGCCTTCTGAAAAGAAAAACAGACTTCCTGTCATTCCCCTGGGTTTCTGGATGTGGCAACAATGTGCACAACTCAAAGTGTAAACAGATGTAAATGGTGAGGGAGGAGGCCAAGTCAAGTGTGTGCTATTGCACACAACTTCCTACAGCCTGATCAGACTCAAGCAGCCTCTCCCAGGGGCTGGCAGCTGACACTTCTACCCGAATCTTGGACTCTTGGCGTCACCAATATTTACTTATGGAAATAAAGGGGCGTGGCCTTGGCGGGAGAGGCGGGTGGAGGAGGGGTCTGGGGCCTAGGGGCTCTGACCGCCTCACAGCACCAGAAACCTTGTCTGCTGTGATCATTAACCTTTCTGGAAAACGAAGCTAGCTGTGCTCTGAGGTCTGTCTTTAGAATGTGAGGAGAGCCACACAGATACCGCATAGACTATTCAAAGAGGGGTTACCTTGTGAGCTTTAGCTCCACTGTAGAGTGGCAGAAAAATGAGATTTCACCAGTTCTTTCTTCTATTTGTTATTTTCATGATGAGTCTTCTACTTATCCACGGACAAAGACAAGGTAGGACTTTGACACATTTGTAACGGAGTAACTTGATTTCATATCTGTTTGTGTGAATGGGCTTCTGATCCTGACTGTGTTTCTAGATGTTTCTTAGATGTTTTTAGACTGTGTTTTTAGACTGTGTTTCTTAGATGTGTGCTTGTTGGGGCAGGGGTTGCAGTGGGGATGAGGTGGGTGGTTAACGGGGGTTGGGAGTGAGTGTGTAGGAGTTCAGGAGTGTGTTTTCTATCCTGTTAGGTCTGTTATCTGGCTATTTTAAAAAATAGCTGGCTTTTAAACTGATGATAAATATTCTACCACTGTTTTTCTAAATTCAAAGAAAATGGATCCCAAAACTATCATAGTTACATTGTCCTTATAAGTAAAAACAGTTGTTATTTCTATATATCTAGTTAGATGTGTCACTTTAAAAAGTGCCATTTGTAAGGTTTTTTTTTGGGGGGGGGTGTTATAGAGCAAAAAAAAAAAAATGTCAAAACTGTGTATGGTCAGGATAATATTAAATTACTTGACACATTTTTCAAGGATCATATCTGTTGTGTTGTTCTTAATAGAAACTTAGTAAACAAAGTTATTTTAAAGTGTTTTTACTTCAAAACTAAACATCTAGGATTTCAAAGCACTGGCAGGTGAAAAAAAAAAAAACAAAAGAAAATTTTCTAAGGAAAAAAGCCAAGCCTAATTTAGAGAGATGATAACATTTCTATCCAAATATGTTAGATTATTTCCTTGATAATATACTTCTCCATTTACAACAGAAAATGGTGCCAACTGATTAAACATTCAGTTTCTGCCTTATAGTTAACCAGAAGTTTGATCACTGAGATTAGTTCAAATGAGGTCTCCTGATCTGCCCTTTTTACATAAATAAGAAAAATGTTTCAAATCAGCAACTCTGAAAGCAGATAACTCCTTCTTATTGTTTACAGGAATTGAATTGCTATTCAAACTGTTTCTCCTCTAAAATTACAGAGCAACTTGGAAAATATTCTTGTGAAATATTTGTGCTTAATTCATGACATAAACTAAAAGGTCTAGGAGTATCTAGAAAGATGTCATGTAGGAGGAGAATTTTACTATTAGACTCCAGCATCAACATGAACTGTTAGGAATACTTGCCATGCATTTACATCCCATTAATTTTTTATATCACAATCACATCTGAACAGATAGCAGATAATCACAGTATAATTTGGATCCAGAATATCCCCTCACAATCTTCAGATTAAACAGCAACGAATTTTCTGTAAATGCTCTAATATTTTCCTTCCCCTCCCCCACCCCCAGCTAATTTGGCAATGAGAAGAAAATTGCACAGACACAACTGCCTTCAGAGGAGATGTATGCCTCTCCATTCACGAGTGCCCTTCCCCTGAGGTATTTCTGATGGAAAATGGTTTTGGCAATGTTTACATTTTGGCAATGTCCCAGATCAGCTATACCTGAGAATGTTTGTTCATATTTTGAATATGTGATAATGACTTTACTGTGACGCCCCTTGAAAGAATGCATACTATGGTTTGCATACTAACAGAAAAAATGAAATGATATTTGGGAACTGCTCTAATAATTTGATGGGATAGATGAGGAAAATGTAGGAAAATCTTGATAACTGTTGAAAATGAGTGATAGTTATATGGGGATTAATACTATTTTGTGTGTTTGAAAATTTTCATAATTAAAAATCAGGTAACAGGAGAATTTAATTAATAATAGAACTAGTGTTTTGAAAAAATCTGAATATCTCCCTATGTTACTCAGAACAAGCACATTTCCCATGAGCACCATTCTAGGCTTGAAAACATTGAGACAAATGTTCCCAGCTCCACCAAGTGGATGATGTATTAACCTCAATATTTAGTAGTATATTCTTCCTGAAAATATTTTCATATATAAAATCAACCTAATGACATAGCAGTTTTCCAGCTTCACTAGTAGAACTAATATTGATGGTTGCATCTTTAAGGATGTACTCTGAAGAGAATTTTGTTCCTGATTTTACACCACCACCATCACCAGTAGTGTTGCTTGAATTAATTAACTTCAAACATCACCCAAGTTTAAACTTCATACAAAAATAAGAAATTGACATTCCATTGTAATTATTTTAAGCTCTTCAATTCTAATGAAGTATATCTTCCTTTAAAAAATAGTCATAGAAATATCCCTTAGCCTGGTTAACATAACACAGGCAATTGCTAAATTAGTCTATTCATTTGGCCTGTGGACTGGAGCATTTATGGCACTATTAATTCAGGGGAATAATGGTTGCTGTTCAGTTCAGTTGCTCAGTCGTGTCCCACTCTTTGCAACCCCATGGACTGCAGCATGCCAGGCCTCCCTGTCCATCACTAACTCCCGAAGCTCACTCAAACCCATGTCCATTGAGTGGGTGATGCCATCCAACCCTCTCATTCTCTGTCGTCCCCATCTCCCTCCTTCAATCTTTCCTAACATTAGACTCTTTTCAAATGAATCAGCTCTTCACATCAGGTGGCCAAAATATTGGAGTTTCAGCTTCAACATCAGTCCTCCCAATGAATATTCAGGACTGATCTCCTTTAGGATGGACTGGTTGGATCTCCTTGCAGTCCAAGGGATTCTCAAGAGTCTTCTCCAACACCACAGTTCAAAAGCATTAATTCTTTGGCTCTCAGCTTTCTTTATAGTCCAACTCTCACATCCATACGTGACTACTGAAAAAAACCATAGCCTTGACTAGACAGACCTTTGTTGGCAAAGTAATGTCTCTGCTTTTAAATATGCTGTCTAGGTTGGTCATAACTTTCCTTCCAAGCAGTAAGCGCCTTTTATTTTCATGGCTGCCATCACCATCTGCAGTGATTTTGGAGCCATAAATAAATAAATAAATAAATGGTTGCTGTAGCTGATGTTTAATACATGCTTTTCAAACCAGTGAAGACTGTCATAGAGCATTACATAAAGGAAGAGCAATTCAGTAATAAGCATTTATGAAGAGGGCTGAGATAAAAAGCCAAATTCTCTACACCTGCATCTGTAACAAGTTACTCTTTACTATCAAAATATTAAAAATAAATTTGATGGAGAAATTCATAAAAATACAAGAGGAAGTTGTTAATCAGCCAATTATTAGAGACTAAAACATGCCTTAAAAGTTTTTTATATATTAAAAAATCCTTTGGTGTGTGTCAATAATGAACTTCAGTCTCAAATAAGTAATGGTAAAATCTGTGCTTAGAAGGAAGTTCAAGATTTTTCCAGGACTCTTCGAAAGTAACAAGAGGCATCTCACAGTAGCCAGGAAATTCCTGCATGTTCAGGAAAAGATGCCTCACAAATGCAAACAAAAGCCCTTTAGTCAGTCACAGGCTGTATTGGCTTTCTCCACAAACCACCTGCCCTAAAAACTAGGGCTGTAAGTAAACAAGATAGAGTAGTGAAATTTGAATGGTTAAAGTTAAGGAAGATTTTGACCTGCAAACCAAATTTGTAAACCAAAGGGAAATCTAAGTCAAAAGCCATATAAAACATTTAATAATGGCAATACTTTAGAAAAGGTAAGTAATCCTTTTAAAGAACTGCTCAGGTTACAGCATCCATTTTCTCAGTGTTTAGGCTAGTCCTGCATTCCAGGAATAGGTCTTTGAAGAATGTGTAAAAGTCACATTTTGGAATCCAGTGATAGCATAAGAGCCAATGAAAGAGAAACATTAAGATAATTTCCCCTTGGGAAACTATAGTCAACACCCAGTGAACCATAATGGAAAATAATGTGAAAAGGAATGTATACATTCCATATATATATATACACACACTCATATATCCTGAGTCACTTTGCTGTACAGCAGAAATTAAAACATTATAAATCAACTATACTTCAATAATTTTTTTGTAAAAAAGGAAAAAAAGATACTTTCCCAAGATCTTGCCAAACCAGAGCTCTAAGTGTTGTCTTCCGGTTTTGTAACCTGATTCTCACTATCCTAAATATTTGCATATTTTTCATACATCTTGCAACAAAGATACTTTGACAACTGGATAAAAATGCTATAAATGTTGATTGTGGAATTCTGAGGCTGAACCTTCCTTCATTTGTCCTCTTTGTTTTCTACATGCTTTAGATAAAATCACCTGTTGTGACTTGATTTGGTTAGGGTCAAGGAAGATTCAGTTAGGGTCAAGGAAGATTGTAAAAGAACAGGTCAAGTAAACAGTTGACTTTGAATTTTTACAAATTAACCCTTTAGAGTGGTTTAGACTTCAGCTCACTTAATGGAAAAGCCATGTTATCTTCACTCTATTTTTCCTTCTCCCAGTCTTTTTCAAAGATCACCAGTGATATTTACTAATAGTTGAGTTAATTATATAAAAAATAATTAAGATAGTTAATTAAATGTGAATAGTCAATTAAAAGTTAATTAAATATAAAATTTATTTTCTTGATACTCTTTTTTCTCAAAAATACTTTGGCAACACTTTCAGCTGTAAATGAATTAGTGTGAAGGAAAGCAAAAGAAAGATGTCAGGAAATCCAAATTCAAAGGTTGAAGTGAGAGCTACAAAGTGGAAATGAGGTAGGGGCTTTGGACTCTCTTGATATCTACTTCCAACAGTGTCATCTTGCTATAGGCCTGATTTTATTGTTAGTATGTGCTAAGGTAACTACACATCCTGTTAACATATACTTTTTCTATCTTTTTAATAATAGTTATAATACATGTTCATGGTATAATATTTTTTTCTAACAGTCTGGAAGAATATCAAGTCAAAAGTAAAATTCTTTCACACTCCCCTGTTGTCCATGCTCTTTTCTCAGAGGTAATGGCTATGAAAATAGTTTTGGTAAAGCTAAATTAACACATTAAAGGTAAATTAACACATTACTTTAAACTGAGACCCTTGATTGCCATCCAAATACAAGTGTTTCTAGTTCTGTATTTTCTGCTTTTTAATAAAACAATTTTATTGAATTATACTTGATTTACAATATTAACTATAATATATATAATATATAAAGTTGTTACATTATTATATTATATATATTATTATATAATCTAATATATAATATATATATATATATATATATTATGTATATAGTTTGTTTCAGGTATATAGCCAAGTGATTCAGTTATAAATTTTTTTCAGATTCTTTTCCATTATAGATTATTACAAGCTACTGAATATAGTTCCTTGTTGCTTATGTATTTTATGTATAGTCGTTATTTCTGTTAATCCTCATTCTCCTCATTTTGTCCCTCATTTGTAAGCATAAATTTGTTTTCTCTGTCTGTGAGTCTGTTTTATATATATATAGGTTCATTTGTATTATTTCTTTCCACTCCCACAGTGGGGCTTTGTATGATTTCTCCACACCCAAATACTCGTGTGTGATCAACTTTGGTTCTGTCTGCCTTATTCTTAATCACTTAAAGTCATGGGCTTCTGATCCCCCATCCACCTCTACCAAATCTCTGCGCTGCCTCGAAACTCTTTCTGTCTTATTGTGGCCCACAAAAGCCAACTTCTGCCTTCAGCGCAGAATCTCCACTTTAGTGGAGCATTTCATCTCCCACATTAGCTGGGATGTCTGGAAATAACTCTTCTTACTTTTGGGTATCTCTCATTCCCATTCAGTTATATTTCAAACCTTTAATGACTTCTAGTTCCCTTAAAGTTTTTGACATCCTTATCCAACTCACAGCAAGAGATAATACCTCTTCCCAGAGAAAATGAAGATAATCAAGGTTCAAAACTGTACCCTGCCCTCAAACTACATGCATCTACATCTGAGTAATGTCCTCTGTTTTCCCTTCCTGGTCTTTCATTAAGAGATATCTCTCTTGGTTATGGTTAATCTCTCCACATCTCAGGAACCTTGATGCAACAATTACTCCCTTTCTTCCCCAGCATATTCAACATGTTAAGACTGATCTATTTCATCTTTAAAAAAAAAAAAGAAAAGAAAAAAAGGTGTGCCATTTATCCAATGGTGCTCTTTAGTGACCAAACCAGGATCTTTTCTGCGCAGTCAGATTTCTTGAAAAAGTGGTACTTCCTTTCTTCGCATTTAGTTTCAATGCACTGCTCCTGTAGCATTCTGGGAAAGAACTCTAGTGACGTCCTTCTTCTTGAATCCAATGAATACATCAGCTGTCTCTGTGGGTCAAATAGTAGGATGAACTTTCCTTGGTTTCAGTGATACCATGCTCCTTTTTGACCATCTCTGGAATAAATCACTATTCTTTTCAGGACCTGTACAGGGTATCCAACTGCCTACCTGGAGTCGCCTCAGCTGCCCTGCAGAAACTTGAAGCCAATGGCCATAGAAGATACACAGATATAAGTCATGGCTTCTACACAGCTATTCCTATAACTCAGTTCTCTGTTCCAATACC